CACACACACACACGCGCGCGCGCTCAAACACTCACACACATCACACACACACACACACACACACACACAATCAACCCCTCCAGAACTAACCATCTTTAGACATGCCAGCATTGAGACACTTCTGAAAGCGACAGTACTGGCATGACTTCCGCTTGCCAGGCTTGTAGTCGCAGTAACCAGAAGTCCGGTTCGCCCGACATTTGTACTCTTTGTATCTCCGCAGACTGCGATGGAAGAAACCCTGACAGGGGAAGACAAAAGAGATGAAATAGTGGGTGCTTAGCAGGTGCTCTGAGTCGTAGTGCGGTTTGCTTCTTCTTTCACAACATACATAATCTTCAATCGTTTTTATGTCTTCTTCGTGAATTTTAGTTGGGTTTTTAGTAAAGAGTTTTAAGACAATTACAACATAAATGGGATATACGAGGCGTGCTGACAAAATGAGTTACCTCTCACAATCCACAAAGAGAGATATTTGACAAAAATCAACACTAGGGTCAAATTTGTAGATTTTCTGTTGATGTTATATTCTTTCAGAATAACATGCCTTATATTATTTCATACTTATATATTGTAAAAACTTCACCTATAAGTGTGATGTAGCATTTCCATAGGGCTTGAATCCGAGAAGTAACTCATTTAGTCAGCACCCTTCACATATAATGAAAAAAAACAAGGAGGGTAGATTTAAAGGAAGATAGATATTTGACAGAAAAGAAGGGGGAAAATACTCAAGAACACCCGCCAACAACTCACATTAGTGAGCTTGTTTGTTACTTGTTCGTTTGTTAGACCGTGTTTGGGTGTTTCACTCATTTATTCATTCATTCATTAAGTCAATTATTATATTCATAGCTTTCTTTCTTTCTTTCCTTCTTTCTCGATTCATCAATATATTTATTTATTTACTTATTTTTTGACTGACTGAATGGCTGACTGCATAAACATTTGACCCATTGGTTGGTCAGTTGACTGACTGATTGATTCATTCATCGGTTGATCAATCAACTGAATAACTGATTAATTGATCGATTGATCGAATGATCGTCGATGGCCTAGTGGTTAGGCTACCGGACTTGTAATCGTGAGGTTTTGGGTTCGGGGGTTCGAGTCGCGAGCCCGACGTTGTGTCCTTGGGAAAGACACTTTACACGAATTTTCCTCACTTTACCCATGTGGGAATGGGTACCCGGCCATAGACAGCGAAAGATCTTGTCAGTATGTTAGTGTTTTAGCGCCTATAAAGGGCCGCTTGCACTGTATGCTTCCCAGGAAGTTGAGGTTGTTTCAGAATGCTCTCAGGTCTGCTGGGGTAATAGTATAGATTGTGAAGCGCATAAAGCTTGCTGTTGAGCGGGGATTTGCGCTATACAAATGCTATCTATCAACTATGTATTATTGCTTTAGCTGACTCACCTTGCAGGCCTCACAGGTGTTGACTCCGTAGTGGAATCCGGCTGCCCTGTCTCCACACACTCGGCAGGGAGGAAGGAACGGCCTCTCCTCTGTCTCCCGGCTCCCTGACTTCCCCACCATCCTGGGCAGAACCTGGGGAGGGCAACAATGGCGGGAATCATGAGTTTTGGGTTCTTGTAAGAGTGTTACGGCACTTGCGACACAATAAGGTCTGTTTGTTTTAATAGGAGTTTAACGGCACTTGCAACACAATACAGTCATATTTGTGCAGAAGATTAGAGATGTTACAAGAGAATAACAAACACACAAAAAAGAAGGAGGAGAGATCAGGACGACAGATCTACGCCGTATGAGATTTCTCAAGAGCAGCGCTTTCTGTGGATGAACACACCCACACGGGAGAGGCAGTCCCTGTTGCTGTGGATGAACAGACCCACACGGGAGAGGCAGTCCCTGTTGCTGTGGATGAACACACCCACACGGGAGAGGCAGTCCCTGTTGCTGTGGTTGCACTTGTAAGTTGCTGTAAAACTCTACTCGACCGCCCACCGTGCAATTCGCACCGATTTTTCCCCGGCTCAACATCTGTTATTTTGAAGTCCATCCGTCATTTCTGTGTTCATTTTTTTTTTACTGAAAAGGCTGATCAAAGGCACAAGGAAATATTTCGTTTCCAAAGACACTCAGGGTTTGTAAGTCACCAAACTTTGACGACCATTTCTCGCGAAGTTCAACTTTGACACCAGGCGACCATTACCTCTTTCATTTACATATCGCGATTTCTGTTCAAGATAGACGAGTGAGATTTTCATCAAAAGCAAGACAAACGAACAGTCTTTAACCCTATCCGTACGTCGTGTTTTACTATCATACCCATACGACGTTGGGAACTCTGTGCCACCACTTAACCCTATCCGTACGTCGTGTTTTACTATCATACCCATACGACGTGGGATGCTCTGTACCACCACTTTCCAAAGAGGAAATTAACTCGCCAATCCGATCTGTACGCTTTGCATAGAAGTCTGTCAAAATGATTTTTCGACAAATACTGAAAGTTCCAAAGAGATATTCGTACTAGAAGTATACTAAAATGTGAAGAATACAACCCCGGGGGGACAGGATGACCCCCAGGGCGTACGGAGAGGGTAAAATGATACCAATCACTCCATAAGTGAGGCAGCGTGGTGGAATCAGGCTCTTGTCAAAATAATCAACGTGAAGAAACTTGCATTTTCTCGCAGGCTTGTGAACTTTTAATAAAATTTTTGTTTTTTGGCTCAACACCTTTCATGCCCATTAAAGAACTCATTTCTGTGAGGATTTTTCAGAAAAACGTCGATTAACAAAAAATACAAATTTTCCGTTACAACGAACTCTTAAGCTACGGAAATAACTAATCTTTGGCGGCCATTTTCTCACTAATTTTACCTCTGAAAATAGGTGACCCCCATCTCCTTCATTCGCAAATATCTCGACTTTTATTCAAGATAAATTCATATTTTTTTCATCCAAAAAAAGACAAATGAACAAGCTTTAAGATGATACCAATAACTCTACATGCCCAAAAAATGGCGAGCGCCTGATTCCACTGCCTCCTAACACAGATGACAACACATCTCCACGGACACCCACAAGGGAACACGCTCGTCATTGACACACAACACGCGAGTACGCAAGTTCTGAAATGACACACCGAGACAGGATTAGGCATGGCACACATGTCGTCGTTCTCCTCTCGGATAACGTCTCACCCCTCTCCTCTCCATCCCTCTCCCCTACCCATCCCTGCTCTCTCTCCTCTCCCTTCTCCCTCCCGTCTCCCCTCCCCTCCTTTTCCCTCCCCTCTCCCCTACCCATCTCTCCTCCCTCCCCTCTCCCCTACCCACCTCTCCTCCCTACCCTCTCCCCTACCCATCCCTCCTATCTCAATCCCCTCCCCTCTCCCATCCCCTCTCCATTACCCACCTCTTCCCTACCCATCCCTCCTATCTCAATTCTCTCCAAAACGTAGTCACGTTCAAGGCAGATAACCTAACTCGCCTGTCCTGGTGTCACATTCAGCTACTAACCCTCCGTGTCTCTGTGCTGGTTAACTCTTTACTGACAACGCGAATATATAAGATAAAAAATAATACGTCTTATCTACAGCAGACCAAAAGCTGGTGTTTCGGAACATTTCTAATGGTCAGTGACAAAGATTGTAAAGCGCGTGTAGCTTGCTGTTGAGCGGAATTTAAATCTGAAACTGAGAGAGACTTTTTTTTCGAAGTTTCCCTCACACACGTCTAGGCATAGCGAATTTTTGCT